CTCAAATCGAGTAGCAGTAGGTCCATTCAACTCGCGGCACGCCGGCGTATTATTGCCACTGCCGATTATTCCTCCTTCTTTTCGTTTTCCTGCGTTTTACAACCCGTTTTACGCCCGTGCGCGCTCACGCTCGTCGTGCGACGATCCTTCGTAGTAACCGGTCTTCCGCCGCCGCCGCCGCCGCCGCCGCCGCCCCGTTCGTTTCCATCGCTCTACTACGCGATACTTCATCGAATTCATTAACCCACTTTAACCAGTTCTTACGCCGGATCTGGCTGCTCTCTGCGTAACGATCAGACGGAACCATGCTCCTCCAATCGTAATCTTGATCTTTCGTCGTGGTAACTAACGAATACACGGTGCGAATGTTGATCTCCCATTATACTCTCGCTTTTTCTGTCCCACTCCCGATCCGTCAACCCATTTTTCGGACGACTCTTCCGGCTGAAGATATTTTCACCCTCCTATGATGATCACACTAGACTTTGGTTTAACAGGACATTTGTTGATAGATTTATTGGTTTTTAAAATCTGTTAATTATTATAGTTTATAATAAACGTGAAGCTTACTAATTTTAATGAGACACATAAATTCAACCTGCTGCTTTTCTATACAGCATGAAATTTCTACAGTAGTAGAAGTCGTTAGAACATTTCAAATTCAGTTGTTAGTACAAAACTCGTTTCAGTTCGAGTGAAATAAAATTGTGTTTTTTCTTACTATGACACTTTCGATTTGTCATCGGTATTTTCTCGGAAAAAAAAGAAACATGACCACCACCATAACGAACGACGGCGTGACAATGCGCAGACACTTCCGAAACGTAAAAATATTGATACGCGCACAGCCCTGTTCCCTGTTGGAAAAAAGTTGTTCGTGACAGCCCAAACGTTATCGCCCCCGCATCGCGAAATCATTCCGGCAGCTCCCGTTTCTCAGGCTCTGATTCTGATCATTTTTTACAGCACACACTCGGAACTCGCATCGTCGAATGAGTCTGCGCGCGTATGCGTGCGTAACAGTATCCAAAGCCACCTACTTACACCTGTGCCACGTACCTGGCGTACCACCGTATCGTCGTCCTGCTTCTTTTATGGCGAGACGCGTACCTATGTACTTTACGTTTTACGCTCGCTTCTTAATGAAGCAGCGACTGCGACGCACGAATCGAACGATAATTGTAAAGTGCTGTTCGTTGACTACCAGTTGCGAAAGTCGTTTGCTCTAACGACTAGAAAATTAGCTCACGCGAAAATACATATAATAATTGAACTATTATTTATTGACTAGAATATCTCTTACACATTGCGAATGGCTCGAATCATTACCGAATACTATACTGCTGTTAAAATGTCCGGAGTTTAATAGAGGGCCAGGCAGTTAGTACATCGTCGAGCCGTCTCGGTTACAAGAAGAATCGCAGGGAAAAAGTTGGCCGCGTGCATGTGCCACATTCTAATTACCTCGACGTACAATCTCCCAGTTCTCCGCGAACAAACGGTAGTTCGTAGTATGTACTTTATTGTAAGCGCAACCACATTATATGCGCGACGTGAATCATGCAAGTATAACAGTATTCAAAGCCGCAATCTATACAGTTGAGAATCGTGGTATGTATCGTCCCGGATAAAGAAGCTCTCGCTTCTGTGTCTAGGAGAAAACAGGATCGATAGAGCGTCGCGACCGCGGCGGCGGCGGCGGCGCGGCGAGGAGACATGCTCGCGAAGGATGTGGAAAGTCTGTTAACCTCATATTTCTCTCAAAGGATCACGTATCTCTCCTTCGATGCTCGGGGCATGAACGCCGATGATTCGACGCGATTAGACGCGTCGAGGAGCACGGAATACTCGTGTGTCACGCGTTAATCTCGGAGCGTTAATCGTGGAACCTTTCTCAGGGTCTAATTAGCATCCCGTTAATGCGACCCGTGCATTAACCCGTGAACTTTGTTGCATGAGGCATACGCGAAAGTATCACGGGCAACGAGGAAGAGACGCGGCGAGTGCGAATTTACCGAAGTGCACGGAATTCATACGTTACCTACGACGATACGGTGTGATTCAAGAAAAACGCGTCTTCTTTATCGTGCTGCGTACTGCGGAAGGAATGGAAGCGTGTTAATATAATATTATACATAAGTATTCAAGATGCGAGACGTTAAAAATTATAATCACAGGTTTCTTCTTAAAGACTTTACAAGTGGCTACGCACCTGCTCATTCTCGACTCATTCACGCATGTTCGTGTCATAAAGATACCCTCTCACAGCACGCATACGTTTGCCACGGCTAGCGTATCGTAGTAACCACCTGCTAGGGTCACGCATTCCGTTTTCATTCTCGATACATTCACCGACGGTGCCCGTATACATGCAATAGGTGCACATCGCTACATTATACATCATTTCAAATTCATTCTTATAACAACGATCCTCGTTGAATGAGGATCGATGAAGTTATCGATGATCAAGTCAGCAGTTATATCGTCTGATTTGGTTTAAGCACGATTAGTACTTAGGTAATTATCTAGCTTGCACTTGGCCAAGTGCTTCTTCCTCAACGGAATCATATCGAACTCTACACGGTGCACAATGCATCGTGTTCAATCGTGCAATATAATGCCGGTGCAACATAATAATACACGAACGCGCGTGTCGTGTACACGAGAGACTTTCCTCAGACAACAGGTAGGTACTACGACTACAACAGCACTCAGCGGTAGGCGGAAAGCCTACGGACTCGTGGGATTGAGCAACCGCACTCGATGCACCTTGACGATCGTGCTTAAGAATGGAAACGAACGTCGACTACTAGGTATAAGGAGTGAAAAAACTGCGCGAGAACAATGTACCGTGAAAAACAGTCGGTCGGTGGATCGATCGATCGATCGATCGATTTTTAAGCAACCAGTAACCGGTTCGCGGTGAATAAAGAAACAGGAGGTTATCGACATCTCCTCTGTTCCTCGTAAAGATAAAACGTACACTGGACGTACAATAGAATAGTCGATTATCTAAACATCGATCTGAAGGATTATGCAAACGTTTCGTTCCTGATTCCTATACCAAGCGTATAATTAAAGCTTCTATCGAACTGTAGGGTAAAGATTACTAGCGAACTGATATTAATGATTTAACGATAGGAATTGTTTAACTACTATCCTTTCTTCTTAGATTCTTTATTTTTCCGCTATACTATCGAAACTAAAGAACACTCGATCATAGTACTAATACAGTTTCAATTAATATTTCTCGTTCCGAACGAATCTAATAGGTGTTTCGTGGCGAGGTTGCAATCGTTCTAATTGTAAGTGGTAATCGGGTGGTTAATTTGTAGCTTCATTTGCTGTTTAAATTGCAATAGCCTGAATTAAAATCTCGTTACGTAGTACGTAAACTTTACACGCGACGCGGACGAAACAAAGAGCCGCGTATAATTCGCATTCAACGTAAAGTTATGCAACGGCTGAGCAACCGCGTACTGGCATTGAGGCGGCGACGACGACGACGACAACGACGAGTTTCGTGGAATTCAGAGAAATGCAACGAACGATAGGCAGTGTGAATTATGCACACCGTCGTCGTCCCAAGAAACAAAACTACGACATGACTACTACAAAGACATGACGTCCTCTCATTTTCATCGCAACTCTGCAAAATAATAACTCCGGTTTCTCCGGTATACAAAAGAATTTATATGATAATGAAAATTTCAACGTCGTTAGGTGAAAAGAAAAATTCCTTCCTGTCGTACGTGTTCCTTGTTGCTATTTCAATTTGCATACTTCATGCACCAACTATTTCTTTGTAGTATAAATAAATTATTATATCGCGATTTAACCTGTGTACAGTAACGTATGTATCGGTACACGAACGCTTTCTTGTGTAAAACAGGAAAAGCTTGAAACGAGGATATAGAACGAGTCGCGAGTGGCGAGGAGCAAACCTGTACTCTTATCTAAGAGGAAACAAGTACGGGGCATCATAAAAGATGCGATGCGTGGCGGCTGTAAAAACTACCTGCACGAATTAATTGACTCAATATATAGGGAGTCGTGCGCTGAATTGGGTCGAACTGTGCTCGTACGGAAGCAAACAAAACGTTTTGATTTCAAAGATTCGCTATGAACGGAGAAAGACAAAAAGTAGCATCGCGAATGCTAAAGCAGATCCAAGTACAGTCTCGCGCAAGACTCACAGAAATATTTAAATATTCAGATCGGAAAAACTTTCAGTCAGGAATAAGACAAAAAATAAGAAACGTAGGATAATTGTGTTAACCCGTTGGAACTTGTCACGCATGTTTAGTACAAAAACGTTTCATACACAGTTGCCATAATGTGACCTTGTAACAATAGACAAGTAAGAAACAGATGCGCGGTAACAATTTGACATAAACGGCCGAACATAGAACCACGCTTCCTGCAGTTTGTCGCGTTACTGGAACTTTAAGTATCTATAACGTTTCTCTATACAACCTTTTACGCGATACTGTATCCAGTTGCCGTTAAGAGTCGTGTTGCACGCCATTTCTACGGAAATTATGTAATAGGAACCACAAAGGCAACCACATTAACTTGCGTAACATAAAATGATGTTTCACGTTTGTCACGTTTATTAAATGCAGAGGAAAAAGGCGCGTGAGGATATACGAAAACATGTAACAGGTCCACAATCAGTTTACAAAATAAGATCTGAGACCTCTGGATTGATTTCAATTTTGTTCACTCAAGTTCACAAAATTATGTGACCATCCAACATCTAATAGCGTTATCGTGACACGCCTCTCATGTAAATTCTCCAGAAATCGTTCTCTACTGTCTTCGATTATTCGTATTTGTCACGGGCAATGAAATAAATCAATAAGTGATCGATTGATAATCACAATCGTGAACTCCGCAAATTGATGGATGTGACAGAGCACATCGGCGCGGTAGCAACGAATCAAGGGAATCGCGCGCGCGCGTTTCGATCAAAATAATTTGAACGAAGCATGACTCACCGTCAGGATTCGTGAAATATCCCCAAGTGGGGGTCGCGGTGGCTGCCGATTGGAGGACCACGGCCAGAATACTGAGGGCCAGAGCACCAGCGGCGCCTCGCGCCGCGACGGCGCGCTTTTCGCTTCGCTGCGGATCGGTCGTCGTCGTCGCGACCGCCCTTACACCTTGACGGTTGCTTGAATCGGTTGCCATTCTTCATGCCGTTTCGTTTCGTGTCTTCTTCGTTCTCGTGTGCCACGCAACAATCCAATACTTTTTTCCCTACCTTCAGTACCGTTTAATCGGCTCCACTTTCCGTTTTGTTCACACCGGTTTCGTTCACACTGCTGCTGTTGCGGCGGCGGCGTCGTCGTCGTCGTCGTCGTCGTCCTCGTCGTTGTACGATCGGTCCGGAACGCGAATTACTGTTACGACCAAGTACCGGTGTTCGCGCACATGTGACCAAGGCCGGCTAATTACATCGGCGACGGGCATCTCGTCGTCGACTCACTCGTCGTTGATCGAATCTTACACACTCTCGGTGTGATGTCACGTAGCACGTCGAGGTACGGACAGAGGCGCGTGCATGCACGCAATCGATAGTTCCAAAGTGGGAGAAGAAAGAGTAGAATTCCACGTTCCGTGTCACTCTTTCTTCCTTTCTCGGCTGACATAGAGAAAGACAGACTCCATTACTCCACCTTTATATCGCGTGTCTTTTCCTCTTGCTTCCTCCCCCTTTCAGCTCGAAACCCTTTCCGTCCTCGTATACATATAGTATACGCACTTTACCTCGTGGCTCGGCCCCAGCGTAGAGACTCGGAAACCGGTTTTTGCGATGCGCGAACCGGCGTTGGCTAAAAATAAAAGCGCCTCGGATTCTCTCCGCTGCTCCATTCGCCTCTCTCGTGATTTTCTGTCTCCTCGCGCGCGCGTTAACCTGTGGACTGGAGACCTTTCGGCGGGAACCACCCGCACGTCCTTATCTACACGCGCTCGTACTACGATCTCTGTCGATCACTTCCAGCCGACGACGATCAACGATCGCGTTCTCCACCTGTCATCGTGATTTGTCGACAGATCAAGATGGCGCGGGAAGAAAATTACTTCCTGAACCATTGGACAGGCTTCATTATCCCGTTTATCCGAATACCTTTCCACGCGTCCTTGCCACCGACTGTGGAATGTCAACTTTCACGACGGCATCCTTTCGTTGAAGCAAACGGCCGTAAGTACGAGCTTCTTCTTCGATCGTCGTGTTTCGACAGAGTTTAACGACGACGACGACGGGCCGAAGCGCGCAGGTAAGTTAGGTTCGTGCGCGCTGGAAATACGAACCGCTTGATATTTGCCGTGTTGGTGCTATAGTTATCGATCGTACGGCGGCGGGGATACACTCGCTTCATTTCGTGCCACGTCTCCTTCGAACCGTTTCGTAACCACGTTCTGCCGCTCACTGCGTCTCGGCAGGCTCCGGTTTAACTGCATCGAGTCTCCTCCACCGGCTGAGGACCGCGTATCCTTTGCATGTCAAACGATTTTCAAAACGGTTTGCGCTGCACGTCAGCATTTCCCGCTCTTTTCCTCGTCGTCTTTCGTCCACGAGCCACGTTCTCCGTCAACTTTCCGCACAGTGTCACTGTGTCACGACTACGTACACGCGTGGATAACAGGTTCTCGATCCCGAATTCGAATCCGAACAATGCCCGCCCGAACGATGCGAGAATCGCGTGTATGCGTCGACGGAACTTGGCGTGCACACACGTGCGACCAATCAGGATCTCGGTTTTCCCTGTGTCACGCGTGACCGACACGAAGGAAAAAAAAAAAACTTCACGATGGGGCAACACGCAAAACGCGAAAAACAACGAGAACCGCGAGTTATGTTTGTACTTGCGTATTCTAGCCGCGCTGCGTACGTTGGGGGCAGCGGGAGGGAGAGAGAGAGAGAGGGATAACGAGACAGGAGGGAAGAGCGAAGATGACGAGAACAGAGGGGAACAATAACGATACGCGTACGCGAGCCTGCGCGTTGCGCGGCATACTGAAGGAACCGACCGGCACCCCGGCACCGTCAGGCTGACTCCAATACTCCTCACCGCCGCCGTGGCTACTCCCCTCCTCCTTCTTTCTCTCTCGTACCACGACCGACGCTCATCCCTTTCTTTCTCTTTCTCTCTCTCTCCCCCCGTCTCTTTTTCCTCTTCTCACCTCTCTATTTCTCGCCGCGTCCCTCTCTTACGTTCTCCCTCCCCCTACATACTTGAATTTGCATTGCTGCCGTGCTGTATGTTTCGTACCGGCCGGCCGTTTGCATGTATGTACATAGTATATGTATATCACATGCCCGTTACAATTGCATTCTTGGAAGGAAATACTCTCGAAGCAATGTGCATCTTTTTTGTCACAACCAGCATGAACGGTCTTCGCTTCGGCTGGGGGAATAAATTATGCCGTCGATAATTCACGGTTCCTCGGGTGATGCGATAAGTGGCGTGTTAACGCTAATTTAATTGACGATGATCGATTTTTAACGGGTTCACCACTGTCAACTTGTTTTCGTACGTACAATAAAGAGTTCAAATGATAGATGAAGTGTTTGAGATTATACTTGAACTGATTTTTTTTAAATGATCGTGATTAAGTTACGATGGCAGTCTATTATAAGGAAATTAATCGCTTTTATTTCATCGATACAATTCGTTTCATTTAACAGTATAAAAAAATGCGAAGCCTGGACTTGAATTCAAAATCGCGTATCGCATCTTCGATACCTCGAAGATTCGGTATTGCCATACGTACTATACATATGTATTATGTGTACAGGTGACGCAGAACATTTTCTTGACGTCAGTCTCTGGGAGGAAAGTTATAGTCTCGCATACATGTGAAACTTGATATAATTCATCTATCGATAAGCTAAATGCCCGTCAATAAATCCATTAGCCGCTTGAGACGAGATAAAAGCAGCTTGTATAGCTCAGAAAATTTGGGAAATTTATGATTGCATACGAGCGTCGGCAAGTATAAAAATCACGTAGGCCTGCATAATCACGGAAGAGCAACCGGTATTTGTATTTTGCACACAATAAAAAGGAAACGCACTGTTACGCGTATGTAATGCGAATTCTTATAGGAAGCTAGCGTGAATAAAATACGTGGTGGCATCGTTATTAAACATGAGTACCATTAGCCGGACTGCGCCTTAAACGTTACCGCCGCCGACTTAATGAGACAAGTATAATCTCAATCCTTTTACTTTTCCTGTAACACAACTCGAGGAACTTCCGATCGACTTAATATCATCATATAACGTACCCTCGAGATATCTCCGTTCAATTAATAGGAATAAAATGTCCTCTACACACTCCAGCTGTACCTTGCTAAGTCTCCAATAGTTTCTTTTTGCCTAGCTTATTAAAAGTTTTTTTCGGTGACCTACCCGGTGAAACCGTAGGATGTATTTTATTTGTTACCATGCCGATGTAGGATTTAATTAACATTTCTGACTATAAATTAAGAATTAATTAACAACTCGTATAGGTAGCTCGTCGTGGGTTGTTCGAATGTACGACCTACGGAATAACAGCAACGTATGATGATTAACATTAGCTCGCGGTTAAACTAATTAATATTTTCCCATAAATAAAGAGCGTAACGTAATTTCCTTGGCTAACTCGCAACAAATTAACTAATAACTGACCGTCCATTCATCGGCACCGCGGCGAAGGCGTGGTGGAATGCGTGGTATTGCATCGCCTCGTAACCCAGCTGAAATTATCGTTTCCGTGGTAACAACATGTTTCATGGTAATAAACTTGCAACCCGTAAAAGGAAATGCAACATTCACGCAACGGCTGATCAATTACGAATACTATTCCTGAAAATGGTAATAGCCGATAGCTTCAAATCCATTTTTATCTATAAGATCGATCGACCGATAACCGTGTCGACCGTTAAAATCCCCGGTAAGTCTTAATTCATTCGGTCAGTAAAAATCGGCAACATCTGTTACCGGCGAACATCCAACTGTCTCGGTCTACATTTCCTACACGTCTATCAACTTTCGCGCGTCCCTGGAACCACTTTATACTGTTTCCAGAATACAGAACGCTTTTTATTAGCCTGTTGAACAATCCGGCAGCGCGAAACCTTCTTGTCGTCGCTTCAGGTTCACCGAGGATCCTCACTTGGAGTTGTTGCCGAGTGTTCTTACGCAACGGCAACAACAGGGTGAAATGAAAGGAAGTTACCTGTGTGTGTGTGTGTTACCTCAGGTTCGAGGGAGGTGCGTTGACGATAACGTGCTACGTGCAATCGTGTTGCCGCTGGGAACCCCGTGGCTCCAAGGTTGATTTGCGACCGACGCTGGTGATTTTACAAGCGCCCGTTCGTGAAAGCGAACCACCGTTAACCACCCCGATGCAGTGTGTCGCGCTGACAATGAGACCCCGCCTAGTTGTAAGGAACGACAGGATTGATCGATCGATCGATCGATCGACCGATAAAGGTCGCGGAGGGGACTCGCGGAAGATAAATCCCGCGAAATAGAGTAGCCCGCAGTAAAGGCGCTCGTGAAATGCGCACACCACCGTGAATAATGGTGTAATGGAAACGGCGCGCGTTATTATGGATTCGGCATTCGTCGATTATTTATAAACCTTGCGATGAACTCTGATATCTCAGTGGGGCGAATCGGCCGGGGGATGCAGCGGATATCTTCTTCGTTTTAAAGTCTTGAGTCATTTTTAACTTTGACAGCTTTATTCATGTGAGCAGTTATAATATATCTGCTGATAATAGAAAATATTACTCGGGTTCCATTCATTTCTACGTGACTTTTATATGGTCGTCTGTATTATCAAACATCTTATTAGACTTGATCCTGTAATATTACTTTCTTAATTTCCTTGGTCACACTAATTGAGGAAGTATGGTTTTTGTAAAACTAGTGACACTATTGCATTGCATATATGTACATTAAATGCATAAATAACTGTAACTGATATTATAATTAATACTTGTCTATGTTCATGTACTCTGAACTTTTATCGAATCTCTCTATCCCGAATCGAATAGAAAGAGGATCGAAAATGTATTCTATAGTGGAACAATTAGCTCCTTTAATTCGGCAACAAGAGCAAATGAGGTCGCTTCGTTACCAAGTTGCCATTTCCGATTCGAGAACGAGGGTGCACGTATACCTGCTAATTCTCAGGAGTGTGTTCCTCGAAATTTACATTGAAATTGCGACATTTGCTTTTTATCTTCGTTAGACTCCTTCGTGCAAATTCATTCGAGCGTGGAAGAAATGATCGAAACATCGAACAGGTTAACGATCCAATTGCAATACTGAAATCTTCGCAAGTACAAATGAAACCGGCTGAATGAACACGTTACGCGAATCACTTTGGTTTTTAGCTGACGATCGAATCGATGAACCAGACGCGACCAGGAAATATCCGCCGCCGTGCGGACGAAAGGAAATAGCAGCCAGGCGGCTACTAGGAAGGAATGTAATTAAACTGTTTGCGACAAATCAGCTCTGAGGAAGATTCATTGTCGCGTTTCTCAGGTCGTGGAAAACAATTTCCTTCGTGGATCAATTGATTAGCTACCCACGCATTTATCAGTCATCGTTACTCGCCCTGATGGAATACCACGAATTTGATAGATTCCTCAATAAAGGGCCTGATTGTCCACCACGCATTAATTAATAAATGTCCGTGATCGATGTATAGCACTGCAACGGTTCGTGCGCGAACAATTATTTCTTGTTATCACCGTCACCAGGTAACGGAGCAATAATTCAAGAATTCATCGGAAAGCCGGACATTTGATTTTCTGACATTTCACATTTTCTTTTCAATCGAATAGACCCCAATAATATACGTATAAGTACGTATGTAATGCATTTAAAAAATTTCTAAGTCATGGTGATTCTTATTGAAATCATCCATTTATCAAATCATCCATCCTTATTGAAATCTCCATTTCGCTTCTCTTAAGAACTGTACATCATGTATCATAATTTGACGCAGCAAGGTGTTCAGAAATCAGTAAGTTGTACTATATCCATTCGCCAATCTTATCTCCTGCCACGGTCCCTCCAACCTTTTGCTACCTTGGGAATGAACACCGCGGTAAAAGATAAGAACCGCGGCGGCTCGCGCGGGTCGGTGAACTCGGCCCTCGTGCAAAACGTGATCCAGAGATTGTGGTTCCTCCTTCTGTCGATGTCATCGAACTCAGTGATTCCGACTTCTATCCCCTCGCTTTCACTTAAGAACGCGTTGTACGCGTCTCTGCAACTGCTCTGCGTCTTCCTGCTTCTAGTCCTTTTTAATTGAGCACTTCCTAGATTAATCTTCTTTTCTGCGTTATGAATCTCGTTAATTGAAAACTATCGATATACTGTAACCCTTGTAACACGAATGTAATGACAAGTCTCTTGGGTCTTAGATGATTGGGTCTTGAATGATTAAGATGATCTAGTTCGATACGACGACGTGAACCTGAATGTCTGATTCTCAATCTGATTTTCCATCACAGTTGTATGGAATTTTGCTGTAGTAGAATAAATAGAGCGAGCTCGTTAAGATTTAGTCTCAATCTCCAAACTGTACCCTGTTTCCCTTAACTAGATTACACTATTTGGTGCAATTAGACGACATACGACACGACCTGGAAAAGCAATTGACCCAAGCCCAATAAAACGTTGACACGTGAGCGTGATGAAAAGTGTGACATGACCCGTGGTCAAAAGAATCCATCAACAAAGTTACAGTAAAAGTTATAGTTGGTCATCTGACAAATATTCAGGTAATCCGTCTCCTGGTAATCACGTCACCATGTTAACTATCGTTTCGGAGTAATTAGCCAATTTCAATCGGAGTAATTAGCCAAGTCAATAATCAGTTTCCTATTACTAGAAACTAGAAATAAATGACAGTGAGTCGTCTATCATCATTTTCGAGGGTGAATCGTGTATAAATTTTACAAACCAGACTAGAGATCTAATAAACAAAATTCTGTATAAAATATAAATTTCATTAGAAGCAAGATATCAATCTCAACCTGATATGCATTTATTTATTTTATAGTTGCTGATTTTAAAGATTGAGATTATTTCATAGAGAACGCATTAAACTCTCTTTCTTAATTTCCTTCATCATCAATTTTTATTCATGTCTAAAGAAAGTTTTAACCCAGTGTTCAAATGTTTCATTATATCCATTGTGGCGACCGCGGCGGTGGTGGCGGCGGCGGCGGCGAGGCGAGATTATTTGCCACACGAAGCCGGCTGGTGGACTCGCAGGTCGTCGTGGTTCCCTGAGGTTAACTCGTTTAACCTTCTCCTACTACGCGAGCTCTTCACCAGGAAGAGAAAGAGAGAAAGGAAGAGGGTAGAGGGGACAAGAGGATCCGGATACAACTGATCCGCGACGATTCGTCACCGTTCGATCGCAGGACTCTGACTTCCTCGAGTTTCGAGGACGCGAGTATTCTGCCCCGTGAAACCTTTCCAAGTATACATATGTGATACGAATCGTGATACGAATCAAACATACACCCTCGTTCATGAGTCTTAGGACGTGTAGTATCTATATGATTCGATATGACTTACAATTAGTCGATGATCTTCCGATTGAGATCATGTCTGATAGCTATTGTTAACTTGAAATATTTCAGTCAGACGTTTTTTGACGAGACAATAAACACTTGGAGACTTGGTTTAAGACTTGTGAACCGTGGTGGACTACGTGGTCACGATCCAGTTACTTGACCCACTCGATACGGTGCCGCACCATCCGCGTCGTCGTTCGGGTCGTTCCGAAAGGTCGTCCGATAGATTTCAGACAACGGCTGGTATTCAGAGTCGTTACTTATATTTAAGATCGTTTTAGCATTTCCTATCCCTGTCTTGTACAGGAAACAGGGACTTAAGCGAATGCTTAAGGCGATCTTAAATATAAGTAACGACTCTGAATACCGGCCAACGTCTTCCTCGATCAGTTTCGTATCCTGGCCGAGTTCTCACTCAGCTCGTGACCAACCCGCCGCCGCGGACAGTTGAACGTTGACGTTCGTGTCCTACGAATTGCCTCGTTCCTCCGCATCGCGCCTGCTTGTCACGATGTCAGCCTAATAGGCGCTTTTTGTATCGTCGCTTATATCGATACCGTTCGTCGTTATCCTTTTATAGTGAATAGGACACGTACATTGCGCCGTTCAAAGGTATTGAGTCAGTAAATAGGTTCTAACGACTTTCCAGCTAGGAGAAAAAATTTCCTGCATATACTGCACATACCACTGATTTATCTACGTATTCTGAGAATTTCTTGTCAAACGAAAATTAACGTAATCTTCTTAAAGATGAATCCTATTCATTCTTACCTCCGATGGAAAGAAATGAAAATTTGTTTCAACAGTTGGTAAATAATGAATTCAGGTGAGAGAATTAGTTTGCCGTTACATATATAATATATATTATATTTCCATATAATATGTCGGTACATGTACATCCACCTTCCGGTACAATATGATAACATCCATTATTGTATTTTTTTTTGTTCGTTCATAATTAGTATGTATGCATACAAGTACACCAGGTTCAAAATTTGGATAGGAGAAACTGTCCTTGAGTCTGAATCAATTTTATTCGTCGCTTGATTGTACACTGTTACTACGAATCGGTCGTGATCATCCTCGAAGACAATGATTAATTATTACTGACGAGACACTGCCGCCGTCTGATTGGAGAAAGTGGCTAGAGGAAACCCCAATCAGAGAGCAATATACATAAGTTTGTCAAAATCGTTCATCCAAGTACCAATTTTATCGTCGCTCAATCGAAGATGATGACGGCCTCTGAATCATTAGTTGCCCATCTTTTCTACGTCACTATAATTTCATACGCGAGTTTCGTCACGCGATGACAGTCCGGTTAATCCGGTAGTAGACACGATTCTTGATTACGCGAGTTATTAAGTGTCTCAGCAAGAACGAAAGATCCCATGGAACTCACATCGAAAGAAATTTTACTATTCTATTCATAAAGCAAGACGCCTTTTCCCTATTCCATTACAGACTAATCGACAATCGAATTTCCAGTTAACTTACTGCTTACAGTTGGGCCGTTTGCGTTTGAACTTATTATTAGAGAGGAAAAATTGGATTCGCATGACGCATAAACCATTCCGCATTTCCCTTTCACGCAACGTATACGAGAAAATAAACAGACGGGGAAAGAATAATAAATTATTCTTGGTTTAAGTTTATGTCTCTGCTTCTCGTTGCGCTTCAATGAATTTTTTATTTCACTGACAGTAAGACCTCCAAGCTATTCATAATTTATGACGAATGAAAAAATAGACTGCAGCAGCAGGAGTAGTAAAGAATGAAAATGGAACCGAGAACAATTTTTTAAAAAGTCAAGAACAATGAGGAACAAGCTGTTGACGAAGTTTATCATTCCAATATTATATACGAGAGAAGTAGATACGAGATGTTGCAATAAATATATGTAAAGAAACTAAAAACACTAAATATGGTAACAGTACTATTTTCCCCGTCAAGGAACCTAGCAGAAAAAGCAACGAAAGTCGAAGAAAAAATAAAAAAATCCACATGTTCTCCGCGAACGAATACATTTAGGAACTCGTTGCGTTATCAATAGATTCGTCAATTTACAGTTTCTATTTATCTTCCGAAGCACACGCATCAAATCAATCAATTAAATCATCCATCAGAGGAGTCTGAGGATCGAGGTGTCTGTGCACGATCCAAAGTCGTTCACACACACGCGCACACACACACACACACACACACACACACACACACACACCTCGATCGTTAGACAGTGAAAGACTCCGGATTTTTATGAAAAATCAAGTCTTTACAAGTTAATGTACATGCAAATCAAAATGGAACTTAAACAGAATCGTTCGCCTCTTAAACATTATAATGCGTTCGTATGGTACTTCGTGTATAGTTTTACATATTACGTGCATATTTCACAAGTTTATCACTGGATAAAAGACTACCACAGTGTAGCGATAACCGGATAGAGTACCGAGGGATGAAACCAGCGTTGGGCAAATCGTCGTCGTCGTCGTCGTCGTAATTCCAGTAGCCAATAAACTCCATGAATCAATTTGAATTATTTATTATAATCGATTTGTTAATTTAAGAAGTTATAATGACTTAGATTTTTTTCCCGTAATAATATGATTTTTATGAAGCTTCGTTCGTTGCCCAACTCTGGATGAAACGGAACGGTATACGCGAATAGTGTAAGACAGTCGTGTCGCGTGCTGCTGTTAAGAAGAAATATTTTCGCCGAGAAAAGAAAGAAGGAGCAAGACAGAGGAGGACGAGTAGGTAGTTTAGCCCCACTTCTGGAACAGACCCATTCGTTGGCACCGACAGTTTGAACCCCATAAATTGCATCTGCAGCTTGAGCTGTAGCAGCAATCTTTCGGCCTGTGGTCGCAGTTTCCACCCCGTCTTATGCAGGCCCGCCTAAACAGGTAGATCAACGAGGTACGTCTACTCGAGATTAGGGGTATCAGAACAATCCCTTCCAGTGACATCGAGACATCAAGGGACGGGGTGTGCAACAGTGACATTGTTAATTAAGTGACAAAAATTAATAAACAACGAACTTAAAAATCTCTATCAGTAAAACCAATGAAACCAAATTCGTAGTCACTTTTGTTTATTCTCCGGCAAAAAGATTTATAATCTATCGTTCAGGTCAGGTTTCGTTCTTAAAATACTCGCTGTAATGTAAGTTTGTAAAATAAAGATTAAAGTCAATTCGAGCCAAGCATGCAATTCTACAAATTTATTTAAAAATTCGACAGGACGCAGGAAAGGGGGGTAAAATGTCGACATGTCGAAGCAACTCACTTTTGTTGAGCAGCTCGCATCAGATTGTCCAACGCATTCGCGTCTGTCGCATAATCCGAATCTGCGTCCTGTAGTGAATCTTCCTCTGAAACACACATCGAGAGAGACAACGTTAGACCGATAGCATTCTTTACAACCGAACCATAAGATTAAAAAGTGATCTAACACGTAGCTATCGCCGCTTTGTACTTCCGGTCGACAATCTCATCAGACAGAACGTTACCCGAGAACCTCCCCGAACAGATCAGAATGTTCAATATTGCATTTTAATACGTTTAACGTGTAGCTTATAAAATCAGAATTTCCTTTATAGAACAACAGAGGAATTTCTGAAGAAATTCCATCCAAGCGTTTATGAATTTGCCTGGTTTGTTTTATTCGCCCTATAAATTTATCAAGTTAAACTGAAATCAGTATGCGAGGAATCTATTAATTCCGTGAGAATCTCCGATATCCGACCGAACAACTCATTTGCGTCTTCGATAAAATCTGGTTACTGTTATTATTAAATATTATCGCAACCGAATTGATCAGGCCCACCACCAGGCGGGAAGAATGTTATTATAAATCAAGAAATGCAATCACGTTACGCAAAACTCTGGTATGTATCTCCGTGAAGCCGTCGAAATTAATTAAACACGCGTTCAATTAAAACTCAAGGTCGATGCCACTAGTCGTGGGGCAGAGGTAGCTCAGTTTTTGTTTAACTAACGATTGTTACGTAACGCTGCAAGCAAATCTTTGACGAAGAGCAATTGTAGATAATAAATATGATACATAAACAGCAGACTATTAAGAAATAATT